GTAAAGTTAAAGCTTTTTCTTGTCCAGTAGTGCAGTGGTGTCCGACTTTAGGCAGTGGTGCTCATCTCCATTTCTTAGCCGAGGGAGCCAGAATTATCCAAAGATACTTCCATAGTCATATGGCTAGCATGACTATATGCCAAAGTGCACAGAACACTATTATGATCATGAATTATCACTTGTTGCTTGTATGTACAGAGAGCTTATACACCAGAGACAAAGTCCTTGGGTGTTAAATCACATTTGGCCAATAAAGAGTTCTGTTCTGTTCTGTATTCTATTCCAATCCATTTGATTCCATTTCATTCTTACCTTCCCACTGAAGTGGTACCTATTTATCTACTTTCATTTGCATGTTTTCAAACTGCTAGGTGGGCAGCAGCTGGGGTAAGTAATCATGCTGCATTCAGGTCTCAAAGCCTGGCTGTCAGCTTTCTAACTGACAACCTCAGCATCTTCGACTGCTGAACCATCATGCCCCCTTAGTAAGTGTTATAGTTGCCAGAATTTCCAAAATATCTTGGCCGTTGTTGATTGGAAGAGGTTTCTGTATAGGACTGCAATCAAAGTGTTAATTTACCTTTTTACTTATAGTAAAGGAAACTTTTGTGTCAAGTACAGATAAGGCTTATTTAACAGTAAATAAGACTGGATATTTCGTGGTATGTCAAAGAGATCCTGTAATGGCTCAATCACAATGGGTTTCTGCCATCAACAAGTTATATTTAGAAGCACTTTGGTATATTTTTGTAAAGATGAACCATCAGTTCAGTTTATACACTAATACCCCATAACAGAGCGTTCCTCTGCTTGGAGGAATCTGAAGGAATCACCATATGAGTTGGCTTTAATATACTGTTTCATAGAAGCTACAAGATGGAATCAATGCAATATTNCCTCTTACCTTTCCAGGTCCATTGCGTTCCTCGCCCTTTCGTCCAGTGAATCCCCTTGTAAAAAAAAAACTCATGAGTTCAACTCGCAAGGTTTTTTTTACAAGGGGCTTCAATGGATGAAAGGGTGAGGAATGCAGCAGAGCTGTCAGTCTCTGTTAGCGCTAGGACGCGCATCTCACTTCTCCCCCCCCCCACCTGCTACCCCTCACTAAAGGGACGGTGGGGAAGGGAACCAGGCAGACTGCCTTTACCATTGGGGCGAGGTGGGCGGTGTTGGGCCGTGAGGCGCCTCTTACCTTTCCAGGTCCGTTGCGTTCCTTGCCCTTTCATCCAGTGAAACCCCTTGTAAAAAAAACCTCGCAAGTTGAACTCATTAGGTTTTTTTTACAAGGGGAGTCACTGGACAAAAGGGCAAGGAATGCAACTGACCTGCAAAGATAAGAGGCGCACCTCGTTTCTCCCCCCCCCCCACCTGCCACCCCTAGCTAAAGGGGCGGTGGGGAAGGGAACCAGGTAGGCTGCCTTTACCATTGGGGTAGGGTGAGTGGTGTTTTTTTGCGCGAGAAGGAACAGGCGGGAGTGGGTGATCGCATTGCTGGCCTGCGGCTGTTTTTGCTGCGGGCTCTTTTTGCGCGGGAAGGAAGGGCAGGGGTTGAAAGCACTTTGCTTTGCCTGCCGCTGTTTTTGCAGCCGGCCCTCTTTTTGCCCCGCAAGCTGTACCGGTAGGTGGTACAGTGGTAATGGCGGGGACCGGTTGTGCATGCGCTTAAATAGTTGGGGGCAGGCTTATTTTTGGGGGAGGGCTTATTATGGCGCATGCTCTGAAAATTCTGATTGGGCTTATTAGCACGGCATGTCTTATTTTTAGAAAATTATCAACTACCGTAGTTGATAAAAAAGCAAAAGTTGCTCTTGCAAAAAGAAAATTAGGAAGAAAAAAAGTGGATGAAATGGTCAGTTTAAATCAGATAAGTGTGATATAGTGCTTAATAAACTGAAAACGTACTGATTAACTTTTGGTCAGTTAGTTACTCACTCACTCTCAGTCCAACCTACCATATGAGGTTATTATTGTGAGAAGAAGTAAAGATGTCTTGACATGAGGTATATTCAGAATGAATGAAATAAATGGATGGATTTCTGTCTATCTCAGACCATGGTTCCATACAAAGGAATGAAGTAGCAAGGATTATCAAGAAGCACATTTTGTCTATAGCCAGGTTTGCCATTGACTATAGCCAATAAGCCTACATATATGAACATATTCTTAGAATGGATATCTATTGAACATCAGAGTCATACAAGGATAGCTACCTACTTCAGAGCTGTCAAGGAAGGATGCAATGCTACTAATGGGAAATTGGAATGTAGACACTGGTAAAATGAGGGAATTTAGAATTACAAAAAGGCTTGGGAAATGAAATAATGCAAGATGCATTAATAGTTGACGTACTCAGTATTTGGATTGGAAGGAGGCAAGGGTGCTTCATATGACATTTATGTATCTATACCTATCAGCTGATCTTAAAAGAATTGCGCTTTTTTCCTAAATATCAATATTGGGTCCTGGAAAATACAAATTTAAGCAGGCATTAAGGAGACAATGACAAGGATTGCAGCATGTTATACAGTATCAGCAGGATTTAACCAAGAGGAAATGCAGTAAGAATGTAGGTTCACTGAAAGGAACATATTCCATATACTTAAGAAATCCAAGCAGCTTTCAGAAGAAGCTATCATGGTAGACATAGAAAATGAAGGAAAACCTTGGAATTGACTTATCAGTAATTTCAATGGCAAGCAAAATAAACCAAACAAACAAAAACAGAGGATCTCAATCAAGAAAGTCAGCAAAAATAAGGGAAAGAACAAAAATAATAACAAATGGTTTTAGGAAGAACAGAGAAATCACAGCAGAAAATAAAAATATTCAAAGGTAGTATACAACAGAACAGAGGAAAATATGGTTAAGGAAGTTAGAAAGCTTATAGTGAAAACCCTTTGTAAACAGAATTTTAGGATTCTTTTTAGAAAGAGACATCAAATATATTCAGGAATACTAGCTGGCAATTAGGAAAGCACAAATGACCTATTGAACTGTTTCAAGATGAAGGAGAAACAGCAGTTAAAGTATAACAGCTCTGTGTTAACAAATGAGGAACAAGACTGTGTGCCCTAGAGACTGGAGAATATTGAACAATATATCTATACTGAAGACAGCACAGGCGAATGTGCCTATTTCTGAAACTTTCTGCACGTTGCCTCTATTTGACTGATATAACAAGTGAACTATAACAATAGCAGATTTGGAAGAGATGAATTCCAGAATGAAAATTAGAAATGAATCCTAAGAAAGAAAGCAATGACAACTTTAAAAAGATTGTGCGGCACATATTTAAATGTGCATCTATACTTATAAATTAGCATATAGTTCTTTAATGTAAATAGCTTCCCTCTTTTGTACTTCTTGGAAGGAACATATTTCAACTTTTTTTTGGGGGGGGGGAGCAAGGTGTTACCATGATACATATTCCAACTTTATGGATTAAAAGGATTTCTTCACCAAGAAAAATACTTGAATGAATAATCTAGCCTCTACCACACCATAGTACATCTCATTTCTTCCCTTTCTCTAAACAAAAATAATGTGATTCTATATTCATGTTCCAGTAATTATTCAAGATAAATACCTAGAGCTATTACTAAGTAGGGATGCAGTGGCTCTGTGGCTAAGATACTGAGCTTGTTGATCAGAAATGTCACTAGTTCAGTGGTTTGAATCCCTAGTGCCGTGTAACGGAGTGAACTCCTGTTGCTTGTCCCAGCTTCTGCCAACCTAGCAGTTTGAAAGCACATAAAAAACGCAAGTAGAAAAATAGGGACCACTTTGGTGGGAAGGTAACAGCGTTCCATGCACCTTTGGCGTTTAGTCATGCCAGCCATATGAACATGGAGACATCTTCGGTCAACGCTGGCTCTTTGGCTTTGAAACAGATGGGCACTGCCCCCTAGAGTTGGGAATGACTAGCACATTATGTGCGAGGGAACCTTTACTTTTATTAGTAAGTACCTTGTTTGACCAAACACATTTTAGCAAACCATACTATAACAAAATGGGTTTTCCTAGTAACCCTGGACAGGTGGTGGGACATATTTAAAATACAAAGCCTCTTTAAATTTATTTTGACCTTTGGAATTTTCCATTTTTTAAATTCTTCATAAACTCTTGGTCCTTCTATCCTGGATGGCTTGTACATAGTGATGGACTCTGTGGCATTCACAAAATCATTTGATAAAGAACAATACATGTGGAGAAATAAAAAGGATAAAAATTGAGATTTTGTTTTTTGTAGTTATTGTTTTTTAATGGAGGACTTAATTTAGTTTTCCCTACGTGGTGCTCCCCGGGTGCATTAGTTTTACAATGCTCAAAAATGTTCTGGCTGAGAATTGTAATTTTCACACATCTGAAGAATGCCAAGCTAGGGAAAGACTGATCTAACTAAAATGAATGTTTTGATTCCCAGCAACTCAGGTAAAAAGACAAGATGACACCTTTATCTTAGCTGTTTGGATAAGAGTCTTGATGTTTAACATTCATTGTTTGCTTCTGATCTTTCTAAATAAACCCAGCCTATTTTTATTTGTGAACAGCTTAGCAAGCCATTAAACTGCAACCTTATTTTTACTTTATAAATGTCCTTAGTAGCAGAATCTTTTAGAAATGTCCAGTTAGCTGGCATACAAAAAAGATGCATTTTTAGTAGTCAGTATGTTGTGAGCTTTAGCATACTTGTAGCTAAGGGGCAAGGTGGGAACACAGTACTATTGATTTGATTGGCTCATGTAGATTTTATCTGCATATTTGTAACACACACACTTATTAATGATAACACTCTCTTCCGTAGTCCCAAAGGTGCTTTTTCCAAAAGGCAACTGGGCTTTTCCCCCCCTTTGAAAAGGTTTTTGCTTTTCATTCAAGAAAGCTTCTTGGATGAGAAGGGAAACGTTTTCAAAGGAAAATAATCCAAGAAAGGGGTGGGGGGGGAGGAAGCACCTTTGGGACAACCATGACCCGGATGATTGAGAATCGCCACAGACGTTCATCTTTGGTATGTCTGTGCCTGTCTAGACAAAGCGAACAAACTGCTTCTGCCAGACATAAGTAGGAAGTCAGCATTGCTTCTCAATTAGGTGAAGGGTTTATCAAGAGCTTTTGGCCTTGAGGCTCGGAGATCAGCTTTGGCTTCGCCTCGCCTAAACTTCGTCTCCTGCAGCTACATGGTCCGGCTGTTTCGGCCAGCCAGGAGTGACGAACCTTGTGGTCCAACGCTTTCTGGAAGGCGGCAGGTCTGAAAGGAGGCGGTTCTTTCCCTAGGTGAGTTCGTGAACAGGGCTGGGGGTGGGGGGGACGGGCTCACCGCTGCACCGCAAGTTTGAGATTCACACCCACACAAGGCCGCCTTGTGCTACAGGGCGGAGGTGGGGGCCCGACCCCAAGGCTGCTTGAAGCCCCAGCGCCAGCTTTTTCTGCTGCGGTCTGTCGCAATCCCGAGCTGCGCCTTCCCGGGCGGGTGTTTGCTGTAGGTCTGCCTCGGCACCACGCCCTGAAGTCAAAACTCCCAGGGTCAGGTGAACGTAGCTCCTGCACGGACATGTCAGGTCGGCCTCCGCCCCCTTCCCCGCGCTCCCTTGAGCGCTCGTGCTTGGCGGAGGGCCGGCGGCTCGGCACGCGCGCTAACTCCCGCTTCCTTCCCCCTCCCCAAAAAGGGGGCTGCTTGATTAAGGACGCCGGTAAGCTGGAGCCTGAGCCCCGGCGGGCTCGTCGGTTTATTTGTGAGGGAGGCCGCCGCCTTCCCTCTTCTCCGAGCGCTGGATTTGTCCGCTTCCAACTAACGTCTCGGCTCCCGAGGATTTAACTCTTTTTCTGCGGAGCTGCACTTGAAAAGCGCACACGCCCAGACAATAAAAGCACCTCCTGGCACTGTGGATGGGCTAAGCCGGGCATTGAATAGGCTCGCGGGGAGAAAGGGAGCTACTTGCCAGGGTACCTAGCTTTTGATCCCCTCCCCCTTAAGGGCTTATTTGGGGGTGGGGGGGGGGGAAGGGGAAGGGAAGAGTCTTTCCTTGGGGGAGGCCTTCATTTCATCTTCATTCTTGTAACCCAGCAACAACCCGTCCTCCAATCAGCTTTGCTCAATGGCAGGAGTGCAATTTGTTCGCGATCCTTTCTTCCTTCTCCCCTGGAACTGCCTTCCCTAGCATCTTTTTTGGGGGTGGGGTGGGGGTGGGGGATGCCGGGATCTCCTCTCTCAGCCTGCCAGCTTCAACTCTTGCAGGAGGCAGAGGAGCTGGAAAACAAACAAACAAACCCAGACCTGGGAGGAGGCAATGTGGCATCTCTTTGAGGGAGTGGCTCTCTCTGAATTCTGTCAAATTGTGCAGTGTGTGGAATGAAAAAAAAAGGGGTGGGGGGGGGACAGCTGGAACTGTCACTGCAGACTGGAAGGAGTTAAAAGATGGCCCAACTGATGCTTCAGAAAGCAGGCTGCATGTAGGCAACATGTCTGCTGGATGTGTGCATGTGTATAATACAAATGTGGATTATTACCATTTGCCTAGCCAAGGACCTTTGAATGTTTGGAGAAATCCCTGACCACGCCTATTTCAGATTTACAGTATTAATAAAGCATTGTGGAAATGATTAGATTGGTGGGGTTGTGGGGGGGGGGACCCAGTTTTATAGCAAGCAATTGCAAATGTTGTTCTAGTGATATAATGGAAAGGTAAATTCTTATTTCCTCTACTCGGAAAGGTAATTGTGGGTGTGTTTAGTTCCTTGTCCTCTGTGGGAATTCTTAACTAATGTTTGTTGACTGCTGTGTATTGTTTGCCAGGCTATTAAGGACCTACAGTAGTGAGCTGTGAGACTGAATACTGAAGAGACTGCAGCAGGCTGTAAACTGGTGAGAACTTCAAAATGTATTGTCAGCTTTGAAGAGAATCAAGAAAGATTGGCAACCTGCAGACCCACAGGTGGTCTTACTGTCCCTCTAAGCCCAGAGGCTGGAGCTTTGGGAAGCTCTGCCTGTTTTCCATTGACATCCAACTGACCAACCATTGATTCGGTGTTAAGGAACAGATTACTGCTAATGATATTTGAGAATCAGCTGCTCTCAGGTGGACCTCACCAAAATGGAAAGGGGGTGAGGCTTCCCACCTCTCCTAGTGGTCCAATAGCAGTAAGCAACTGCAATCTTAAGCAGGTTCATTGGTTGGAGGGAAGGAAAACTTTTTCGGGTTGCTTCTTTCCAGGCAGCCTTCTTATTTTCCTTGTTCTCCACTGGTTGGCTGCTGCTTGCAACAGTGGGGAAGCAGTGCTCCTGAGAAGGTCTCTGAGTGGGCCTGGAAATTGGGAAGATGAGTGTGTCTATTTACCATGTGTAGGGCTATTAACCTATAATCAAATTCCCAGCCATGTAATAAGTGTAATGCAAAGCTATTTGAGTAACTACTTGATCTACAGATGCTATTTGTGTATTTGAAAATGTTATATTAAATACATATGACGTTGGATGCAAAGTGGTAGATAGGTCAGTCTAATGAAAAAAAGAGGGGGAAATGTTATAAATGGTGATGTACATTTCTATGACTCTGCAGATTTGTTGTTTATTGCTTAGAACAGGGGTGGGTTTCTCGACCCGTTCCAACCGGTTCGGTTGGAATGGGGCGGGCGGCGTCCTCGTGCACGCGCGCGGTGCACGCATG